AGATGAAGTACAAGGCAGTCCAGGGAATAGAAACAGAACCTCCAGGAGGCAACAGTTTGTGAGTTTGGAAAAACTGAGGGAGCCTGGCCTGGAGGAGAGAAGTTGGCTCCATTCAGGAGGGTCCCGGGCGAATTCTGGCATCTGATCGGTGATGGCAGAGCTCCACCAGGCAATAGGAGAGAGTTGAACATGAAGCTGAGATGGGAACAGGCAAAAGGTGGGAATGCTGGTGGCTGATGACCAACCTCAGGAGAAAACTGATGAAGGGAACTTCACTCACTGAGCACCGACTGCATGCTGGGTGGGTACTGTGGTGGTGCCTTCTTCACTTTATTGGTTATGCAGGTATTGTCTCCATTTTAGTGCAGGAAACGGGTCCAGGTAAGGTGACTTTATTCATTAAATATACACACTTGGAGTATAAAGATGATTAAAACACAGCCCTCTTCTCTGAGGACCTCAGAATATCGTAGGTGGGAAATACAGAGGCAAATCATTTTATTAGAGTGGTTCCTTACATAAAAATAGACATAAGCACAAGATGTAATGAAACCCCAAAGAGGTTCTCCCAAGTCTCAGAGTCAGTGTCAAAGCCAGAATTCAGCTCCTGGACTGTCTGGATCCAGACCTTAGCAACTCCTACCACTCTCACTGCACAGCTCTTGTCGGGACCTTTGGTCATAGTCTGAGTTCTGAGGAGTGGCAGTAATCCTTGTTGCTGGCAGAGAATTTTTAAGAGCAAAGGGAGGATGTTGGAAATTGGGATGTGGCTCGTACAGGTGACCCAGTAATGATTCAGGCCTAGGAAAGGAGAGGATGGTGTCCTCAGGCTTGGTTACCAGGTCACGGAAACCCTCCTCGGACAGGACTGATTCTGAGCCCAGAGGTGGCAGAGAGTGCTTCTAGCTTTGGAAGCCACAGGAGGTAAGAAGCTAAGCTGGTTCTTAGTCAGATTAGGACCAGAGAATGGAGGACCTTGAAAATCAAGCTGGGATTAAGAGGAGAGGCCACACTGGGAGTGATAGTGGGGATCTGAGAATGCAGACAATTTTTGGGCTGGAAGGAAAACTTGCTCAGTCTCTAGCATCATCAACTCCTTTAGCTTCTGTTGATATCAACAGATCCTGACAGGATTGTTTGTCTGCCTTTTTAAAAACAATTCTTTTGCTTTAAAAACTTCATTTTCCCCTCCCTTCTGAGCACCAGATCTGGAAAAGGCTTGAGGCCCCAATCTTTTCTAGGAATGCTTTGCCTCTGATCAATGGATAAATAGCCCAAGCCAAGCTTCCACAGTTGGGAGAGGGCTGTGGGCCACATCTATGGGGTGTGCAAATCACACCTCTCTCCTGAGCAGTGGGAAAGGCCAGGAGAAGTCAGAGGATTAGAGGTAGGGAAGCTATGACTAGAGAGGGGACAGAGCAGGCAGAGTTGAGCTTGGGGAAGAGAGCCTCCCCGGGCAGGTGGCTCCATTTGATTTCCAATATAAAGAGGAGGCTTAGATAGCCAAGAAGAAAAAGGCTAATAAGAAAAATATTAAACTGCAGTGTGTGTGTCCCCAGGGTCTTCCTGTTGCCATGACTGACCTCCCGGAGAGCGCCATTCGTTCCGAGCATGGCAGCTTTATAGGCACTTGTAGGCCTGCAAAGAACACCAATTTGCTGCTGCAGTTTGTTTTGATAACTGAAACTTTCAATAAATCTATATTAAAATCAAAGGGAAAATTAACTAGGCCCCAGTGAGGGGCATGGAGATAAGGGAGCACATTACCACCCTGGCCTCGGTCACCCCACATCTGTCTCTTAGTTCAGACTCAGGTCACCAGGGAGATGAATGGCTCAGGCTCATGGGGAACAGCCCTAAGAAAAGCAGGGCAAAGAAGGCACAGCCAGGTCCAGCCTACAGCTAGAGATTACTGGGGGAGTTGGGTGAGGGGGGTGAGAAGGTTGGGTGGTGGTCATGGTGGGAAGAGGAGTTGCGGGGGAGGGGCAAAATTAATAGTAACAACAGGCAATATTTACTGAACTCTTTATGCTAAGACACTGTGCTGAGCATGTTTGTATTTAATTCTAACAAGTAGGTACTAGCTTTATCTTCATGCTGGAGATGAAGAAACTAAGCCTTGGAGAGGTTTGTTACTTGCCCAAAGTCACAGATGGAGCCAGCACTCAAACCTGAAACAGGCTCTGTCTGCACTCACACAGCTACATATAACTGTACCACGCTGTCATATGTAGCTTATAGGGCCTCTGAATGGTAAAAGCAGCTTTTCCAGTTCTCAGGTCAAATGGTTTCAGACCCAGTCTGGGTTCTCTCACCTGTGCCAAGTTTGGGGGCTGCCATGCACCGTCCTTGGGTCCTGGGTTCTCTGCCCTTCCACTGCTGGTTAAGGCCCCAGCTTTGAGGCCATCTTGCTGTTTTTTTCCTGGTGGTTTCACAAGCAGAAAAATCAACTTAGTTCCCTTTTTGGTTCCTGCTCCCAACATCCACTTTAGCTCAGTCACTTAAGCAGCCAGGAGGCTACCCAGGGTCTATCTGTATCTGTGCATTGGACTCAGTTCATCTGCCTCTAAAAATTCCTTTGCCCAGTCTGTACCCCCAACCCTGGGCCTTGGCCACTTGGTTTTTGGAAACTCAGTTGACACCACTATCATCTCATTTACTAACACATGTGGTTGTCTTAACCTTCTCTGGGAGAAAGGTTAGGTTTTGATGTAGCCCACTGTGATGGGACTACATACAGTGGGCTTAATTTGACTAAACTACAGGCTCTATGACTCTTCTTGTCATTTCCTGTCTCAGGTGAACCACTGTATTTTAGGTTATAGGATCTGGTGCCCCCGTGGCCACCAGAGTGGTGGGGCAACACAACTCTCCCTCCTTCCCTCTCTGACAAATGATGGTTCTATATGACCTGTATGACAGGGCAACTAACTGTATTTTTTGAAGCACTGGTCAACTTTAGGATATACTACCTTATATTTCTTTCCCTCCTGACCTGCCTCACTTCCCTTTCCCCACAAGATTTTGCTGACCTGGAATGAAGTCTTACCACATAAGCTTTGCCGCAGGCTCTATTTTCTAAGGAACTAGAAAATAGAGGACATTACAACAGAGCCAAAGGCTTCAGGCAGCCAAATGCTGGGGCAGGCAGCGGTGTAAAGCACCAAGTATACCCTGAGCTCTTAAACTGTTATTTGAATGCATTATGCCTATTTTTGGTCCAAGAAACTTACATTCTAGTGAGGTCCTGGCAGTTGTATAGTTGAGTTCTACAACACCAAGGAAGAAAGAGCACATTCTGGAGAAGTCAAGGGGACCATGGAAGGCTCCATGGAGGATACTGGGCCTGGGCCTTACAGAAAGCCTCCAATATAGGTAGTGTAAGTTGACTCTTTCTTACAGCCAAAAAGATTGTCTGTGTCCTATTCTCAGGCCAGCCTCAGGAAACTAGTCACATCAGAGGCAGAATCAGGAGAGGCCATCTCAGGGTCTCTTTTGTCTAATTTTATTTATCTAAAATAAATAATATTTGTCTGTTCTTCTTTTGCTGTCCCTTCCCCAATATAAAAGCTCCTTGAGGATACAGGTTTTGTGTCTTATTCACAAATGAATCCTTAGCAACAAAAACAGTGCCTGACACATTACAGGCACTATATTTTGACTGATTGATAATAGGGATTAATGTCTAAATGACATTAAAGGAAGGAAGAAGACCCAATTCCAACTCCAAGAATTGGGGGATGGGGGGATGTGCCTCCACTTTATTAACCTTGGGTTAAGCGACACCTATCCCTGCTGCTGATTATTTCCTCATTTGTTCACAAACATTTATTGCATACCTGCCTTATGTCTATCACTGTGGCGGGTACTACTGATACAGCATTATATGGAAATAATGCCTACCTTACAGGAGTTTATAGCCCTGAGGGAGACACAATAAGGAAACAGACAATTATGAAATAATACAGCAAATTCTGTAGGTGCAGAGTTGATCTGTCTAACCTATTATGTGGGATTAAGGAAGGCCTTCCCTGATATGGGATTGCCATGCAATCCCAGTTCAGGCAGGAACCATTATGTTAAGGTCAGATCTCACAGGGGTGGTAGGGCCTAAAAACGTCATTTTCTTAAGGGAAATATGCAGATGGCAGACAGAGGTCTTGGTGACCAAAGCTGGCTCCAGAAGATGTTCCTGGTTGATTGGGAGGCTCTCAAAGCCATCATGAGTGAGGCCAAGGCTGGGATTTCCCAGCTCAGTTCCATGTTCCATGACTTCCCAGAGAACCATAACCAAGATGAAGAGACACAGTCTTGACTTTGGCCAGAGTTCTTTCCAGCTGACCAGAGACTCTGTGGATGCTCCTAACAGTTGAGGCCGGAATCCTTTTAATTCTTAAGTTCCCTCTGGAGACGTACACAGACAGATTCTTCTTCCTTAGGAAGGTCCCTCAGAAACCTAACCATTTTCTTCTTAGCATAAAACTCCCCCTCCTGTCAGGTATCCCTCAGGCCCACCTCGGAGGGTGGATAATGACTTGTTGAATGAACAAATCATGAGAAGGTGTCGTTTACATACAACATGTCATCTTATGAACCTGTACTCACCTTATGGGTATAGTGGAAGGTTGTTAACAGAAGTGGGGGACCTGGGTCGCTCTAGGTCTTAGGAAGTTTTAGTCTTTAAGAAAATTCTTTTTGCAGCTCAGAAGTGAGCCCACCCTTTACTCTCTTCTGAATACGTGCAACCTCAAAACTACAAGCCCCATAAGGCCGGCGATGAGGAGGTACCATCTTGACAACCTTAGCGCGCATGTCGGCGGGAGAGTGAGCATTTGGGGAGAAGAAGCCCCGCCCCCTCACAGCCCATTGGTGTGAGGAGCCGGCGGCGGGCGCTGCGGTTGGCCACTGCGCCCGCCCGTCCGTCGCGTCGGCAGGGGTCAGAGTGCGCTGAGGTGAGTCGGTGTGTTGTGGACTCGTGGTGCTGGCTGCCGCTGTTGAGGCGGCTGGGAACGGGCGGTGGGGAGCGGGCGGAGCTGGCCCTGCCTTTGCCTGGCCGGCGCCGCAGTCGGCGCGGGCTGCACCGCCGCCATAAACTGCACTGAGCGCCTGCTGAGGCCGAGGGAGACGTCGGGGCCTGCACCTGGAGGGAGCCTGCCGCGCTGGCCCCGAGGAGGGGGCGTTGCCATGGCGACAGCCTCTCCCGCCGCTGACGGGGGGCGGGGGCGGCCCTGGGAAGGAGGGCTGGTCTCCTGGCCCCCTGCCCCTCCCCTTACTCTCCCCTGGACTTGGATGGGCCCGAGCTGGGGGCAACACCCCGGGGTGGGTGATGCGGGAAGTACTCCTCCTCCCCCATTGGGCCCTAGTAATGCATGCGGGGTGAGGGTCGCGGCGCTCAGTTTGTGCAACCTGGGGTGCTGGCCCGTGTACTCACACTGGATACGTGATCTGTTGAGAAACGTTGTGGCCGAGAGGGAGCGGGGCAGGGCTTTGCAAGACAGACTGGGTGAGATGATTAAGGGTGCTGACGTCTTACCAGGAATTACTAGGGAAGCGGAGAGGTTTGACCAGAGAGCATAGAAACCCAGCAAGGAGATAGTAAATAGAACGTCCTCTTTACCCCTTCCTCAACACACACGTACACGAGGTTAGAAGTTTACCTCTTTGTAGTCTACAGTAGTGGTAGTAATGGTGGAAGGAGTGAATAAGGAGCCTAACCTGGCTAGATTTCTCTTTGCTTTCCTGCAAATGTTCCAGCAACAGGTGTTTTCTTAAAAAAGCAAGAACTTGGATTGAGGCTTGACAGAGTTCTTGGGAATTATAACTGCTCATTGTTAGCTTGGAAGATGCTGAACGTGGCCCCTTTTGGGGGTTTTGGATTCTGTCCTTAGGGCTGGTTTGTGCAAACTGATGATGCCCATCATTGCCTCTCTGTAGGTCTCTGGCCACTCCTGTGATACTGGCTCTTGTCAGACATTTTATCAGTCGCCCAGCTGTGGAAGGGTAAAAAACCACAAATCCCATTGGGTAAAGATTATACACTGTTTGAACCCTAGTAGGTTATGACTGGCTGAATGATTTTTGATTGTAGAGTTTCTATGAGAAATTGGCTTCATCAAATGCTGCTTTATTCTGACTTTATCATACACAGCATGCCTTGTTTTAGTGGGTTAGTGCCTGGAACTAAGTATATTATACCTGAATCCCCTACCATTTAAAAGCCAATTTATAAACAGGGACTTGGAGTGTGACTCCACTAATGTGTGTGTGATCTTGGTTAGAAACCCACTTGACTGCCTTTCGTCAAAGAGGTGGGAGGTGGGGGAAGGGAGCTGCCTGGAAGTGATTGATAAGGTTTCCTTTATGGATTCTGTGGTGCTTCACTGGAGCTCAGAGCACTTTGGCAACTTAAGCACTCCAAATTAAAAGCTCATTAACAATTCCTGCCCAAAGATCCTGTAAATAATCAGGCTAGCTAGGTCATAGAGCTTGGCCGAGTGTTCTCCTTCCAACTTGAAATTTCCAAATAAAAGTGCTTTTATTCCCTTTCATTTCGAAAGTGTTTTCTTTGTGGCGGGGTAAGTTGGTGAGTGGCATTTTCCCAGGGGAATCTGAGTAGAATAAAGTCTTAAATGTGCAGAGTGGTGGACAGGAATAGACTGGTTCCAAAACAAGGTGTTTCTTTGTGCAAAGGGTGTTGTTAGCTTAGGAGCACTCTGTCACTTCTGGTCCTTTGGAAGATCTGAATTAGGTGATAAATGTGCTAGGTGTCCATTGATGATTTGACTTAGACTTTGGTTACCTTCGTTTTCTTAGGACTTGAGGAAGATGCGTAAGTATCCTATAACTGCTTCCTGGTCTGTGTGGCCATTCATAGTACCGCCTGGCCTATGTGTTCCTGGCAACCAACTCTTCCCCTAATCCAAGCCTCAGTTTCTGATTTCCGAATACTGTCAGCCTTACTGGTGTCTCCTCCTTGACTAGGATTCTGGGATTATCCAGAGAGCCATCACTTCGTGGCCATCATTCTCAGTCCAAGCTTAGATACTATAAATGTTTAGTGTTTTTGGGAGATAAGCCTCCTTAGGAAGAAAAGTATGCTACTAGAGACCATGACATTTATCATTCCAAAAATATAGTACTAGTAGCTTCTGAAAGCTCTGTATATGAGCACTGTTCTAATGCATAGATAGCTGTTATCCTAAAGTTAAGTTTTGAGTTTAGGAGTTTGAAGAATAGTGTGGCCCTTACATTGTTTCAAACAGCAGCGCCCTGGGAATTTGATCCTTTGTATTGAAATAGACTTGTTGCAGAGTGTGTATTTATCCACAGCATTGGGGCTTTCCAGCCCTCACAGAACCTTCAGCATCCCCAGCTGGCAGTCTTGGCATCTTCGAAGTAAGGAGAGGTGAGAATCCCATTGCATGGTCAAGTCTGGCTTGATTTCTTCCTTATGAGTATTTGGATATGGAGGGTGGGGGTCAGTGCAGATTGTATTTTTATGTAGCTTTTTCTGATAAGATGCCGTATGCTTAAAGACTACTGAAACATACCCAAAGTCTATAGAGTGGTGAGAGTTGGAGGTGAGTTATCCAGACTATCAAGTTTCATCATGATTTTTTGAGGGCATTGCAACAGCATCTGCTTAAGGTTCAGGGAAGTTGAATAGAGCCAGGATAGTCCTTTATCTTGAGAAATACACATCTTAAGACAATAGGAAGGAGCACATGTATTTGGCTTTTGGTAATGCATTTGACCAAGGCCTTTGAGATTCTGGTGGTTGTGGGTCAACCTTAGATAATGAGTGGATGGTTAATCCCAGCCTGTCTCCATTTTACAAGGATTGGGGCTGGCTAAAATGGTAGACTCTGATTATTGAAATCTGGGATCTCAGAGATTTCATTCAGTAACTAAGGGCCAGGCACTTCGCTAGGTCCTGGATTGTGGTGGTGAACAAGAAGACACCAAAGTTATAAGTCCATGGGAGAGACAGAGAGCGAAGAAGCAGTTACAATATATTCTGAGAGTGCTATTTAATAAGTGTAGTCCTGTGGGGGAACTGTGAAGATCCTTAGTCCAGACTGGTGGGCTCAGGGAGGGTTCTCAGGGAAAGTAACCTCCTCATCTAGATTTAGATGAAGATGAGGGACCAAGTGTGAAGGTCAGAGCTTTGTTGAGTTTGAAGTTCTCTGGATTAAAACATAGAGTACTCAGTGGATAGAGGGCAAGGGAATATGCTAAATCTAGCAGGAAAGATAAGCAAGAGGCCAGGGCCTTATAACTCTTAGGATTAGATATTGAGTAGAAAAAAAAATTAGTAAACTAAGTCAGCACATGTTTTCTGTAAAAGACCAGGTAGTGAATATTTAGGCTTTGTGGGTCTTGTCACAACATTTCAGCTCTGCTCAGCTCTACTGTTACATCATGAAAGCAGCCATAGTATGAAAATGAATCAGCATGGCTGTGTTTCAGTAAAACTTTATAAAACAGGTGGCAGCTGGATTTGGCCCATGGACCGTAGTTTGCCAACCCCTGAATCAAACCATCATAAGAGCAGAAAGAAGCTGTTAAAAGGTTTTAAGCAGTGGACTGATAACTAGATTTGTGTTTTAAAGTTGCTCTGATTTCAGTGTTAAGAATGGTTTGAAGGGGAAAATACTGGAGTCAGAGAGACCAGTAAAGAGGCTTTGGCAGTTTCATGGGTAGCATTTTCTATTTCCCCTTTGAGGCAGTATTTTGACACTCAAAAATTGAGTGTAACTGAATCTTTGCGTACATCTTCTCTGGTTCTCTTTACCAATTTCCTGGCCATCTCCTGGAGCCTAAAGGATGTCTACTAAAGAATCTGTTGGCAATGCCAGTTCCTATTTCACAGACTAGAAAAGATTTGAGAAGGGAAAGTTGTTATAGAATAAGGTTTTGGGAATCTTTGCTATTGAGAGAGTAAGGAATAAACAGAGGCCTGTTATGAATTGTGGTTTTAGGGCTCATAACCTTATAGTCATTTGCTTTGAGCTTGAACTGTACACCCGAGGAGGGCCCATTTTCAAAAGCTCTCTGGGGAATTGTCCCCATTCTGTGTATGTCCTACTCAGTCTCTCCTTTTCTGGCTTCCAGCAAACTGGTGACCTTTTTCTGGTTTTGAGAATGTCTCTTAATTCAGGTATGATGGTGTATGTCAGGCATATTTATTGAGTGTCTGATAAATTGGCTTCCTCCTCCTGAAGGCCTACTTGGATTAATGGAGAGAAGCCTATAGGTTTCTGATAACCTATCTTACAGTGTTTATATGACCTTGGGCAAGTGACTTACCTGAGTTTCATGTTCCTATCTGTAAAATGGAGATAATGGGACTTAACAGGGCTGATTAAAGCATTTGATGAGATAAAATATGTAAAGCTCTTAGCCCAATCTCTTGATAACTTTTGTTACTAATAGTATTTTACATAATTAATAATTTTAAAAAAGCAGCCAGCAACCAAGCCAACTTGGGTAAGTTGTCCTTTGGCTTAGTATGCTTGCCTTGGGTCCTCACAGTTGTCATGGTCGTATGATAGAAACATGGCCCCTGGTGGTGGCAGCCAGCAGATGGGAGGAAGTTATAATTAAAGCAAGGCACTGCTCTTCATAATGGAAAATTTTGAGACAGCAGGGGTCCCATTCAGAATCCTAGAACTTTCTTCAGAGTGGATCTTAGTCCCAGCACCATCAGTGAAACAAATTGAGTGAGCATCCATGTGGAAGAAATTCACCAAAGTGTGACCAGTCATTTCTCCTGGTCTGTTGGGGTCATATATTAGTGTTGCTGTCCTTGTAGCCCTACGTCTTTGTAAAGTGTCTCTCGAATATTTATTACCTTTCACCAGCACTCTAGAAACTGGGTCTGGTGGTCAGTATTGTCCCTGCTATGTGTGTGAAGAAACTGAGGCCCAGGAAGGTTAAGTGTGTTGGCCTAGGTCATGCCACAAGCTACTGACAGAGCTGGTGCAGATTTGCCTCCAGATGAAACTGTTAGTTTATTGCTGTGATTTCTCTTCCTTTGAGTGAGAGCTGCGCAGTCATTGCAGAATTGCATCGCTGCATGCCTTGTTCAGATCTGCTAGGCTTGATTTGGGTCCCACTTCATCCACTTGGTCCTGTTGGGTTTTAATTGGTGATTGCTAGGATTAGGCCTGTTGGGAAGCAGGTTCCCTTTAGATCATTGTTTTTAGCCATCCTCCTTTGGGGACATTCTTGGGGGAGCCTTGGGTTACAAGAGATTGCTTTGATATGTTCAAAATTGTGCCTTGTGCCCCACAGCTACAGGTAAAATCAAAAGGCAGATAATTTATGGGAGTGTCAGAGCTGGCCGCTGGCACCTCAGGAGGCCATTAGTATGCCTGTTCAGACCCTCTGTGTCCTTGCAATTGATTCCTCTTTGCATGAGCTTGATTTGGGAAGCTGTAGATCTGTGGGTAGTGATTGGATGTGACAGTCCAAACACCGGTCCCTAAATTAATCCTTTTAATAGTATTCTGGCACCACAGCAATGTGGGTTTTCTCTCTCTCTTTTTTTAACTGGGGAGGGCAGAATGGGGTGGACTAGGAAGAAGGAGAAAGAAAAGAAAAGAAGCTTTACTTGGTGCTTAGGCTCTGCTCTATGTGAAAATGTTCTGATTCCAGAGCACGTCGACATCATGACTTTGAGCATATTAATTCATTCAGCAAATACTGACTCACATTTACTTTGTGCCGGGTCCTGTGCTGGATGCTGGGAATTCGAGAATGAATAAAAAGTGGTCCTTGCCCTTAAGGATCTATCTCTAGCTCAGTGTTTCTCAGACTTCTAAAACTCATGCACTGTTTAGGTGAAAAAAACTAATGCTTTTTTTAATGCTGTTTAAAACTTTAAAGTACATTAAAGGGTCTGACAAAAAACAAGTCAAAAGAAATGATCACATCAGATAATTATTTTTTACGTGTGCACACACACAATCTCTAGCTCAGTGTTTCTCAGACTTCTAAAACTCATGCACTGTTTAGGTGAAAAAAACTAATGCTTTTTTTAATGCTGTTTAAAACTTTAAAGTACATTAAAGGGTCTGACAAAAAACAAGTCAAAAGAAATGATCACATCAGATAATTATTTTTTACGTGTGCACACACACATGCACACACACACACATACATACATCTGCTACCTTCCATCCTTCCCATCTAACTCCATGAAAATTACCAGTAGAGGAGAAACAGATAATGAAGTCTTACAAAACAGTGAGATAAGTCATGAAATAGGAATAAACTGTGGATCACACGTAAGCAATAAACTGTCTGATGGCAAAAGTGTCAGAGAAAACTACTGAAAAAGGAAGATTTGAGCTGAATTTTGAAGAAGGAGCTAAATTTGGCCTGGTGATAATGGAAGTATGGTCCAAAACAGAGGGAGTAGCATTTGCCAAGGCACAAATTTGTAAAGGGAAATATTGTATCTGGGGACCTGAGCAAGAGCTGGTTCTCACCCTGCCTCCTGCCAGTTTCTGTGCTCTGAGATGGGAAGATTTGCTCCCCTGGAATTGTGTTTGAGAAGTGGCTTTGAGTTCTTGAACTGCAGGGCATTCCTTCTTGTTTCTGCTTTTTGTACACAGGGCTGCAATTTGTTTTTCTTGTTAAATATAAAAAATTTATTATGAAAACAAAGTTGGGTGATTTGGACAGATTTAATTACTGCTTATGGTTAAGTTACTTTGAGAGTTACACCTTACCTGAAAAGAAAAACTGAAATTGATATGTGTTAGCCCTATGGCTGATGGAGGAGTCAGTCTATTGGGAAAATGTCAGCCCTCAAACATGGGAGAGAACACGGCCCTAAGAGCTGAGTGCCTCCTTAGTTTTGTCGTGCATAAAATGGGAATACTGTTACCCATCTCGCTTATTAGTTGGAGGATTAAATGAGATGGAATATGTAAGTTGCTTAAACAGTGCCTGGCTGATAGTATATTTTCAGAAAATGGTGTTTCCCTTTCTTTTTCATGCATTAACAATAGCTCCCTTTTTTAAAATTAAGGTATTGTTGATATACAATCTTGTGACGGTTTCACATGAGCAACTTTGTGATTGCAACATTCACTCATATTAAGTCCCTCACCCACCGACACCCCATTGCAGTCACTGTTTATCAGCGTAGTAAGATAAAAATAGCTCCGTTTTATTAGGCACTTACTGTGCAAAGCCTATTATACACATTATATGGCTGGATTCAACCCCAAAGAAGTAGGTATTATTACTATAGTTATTACAAAGAACACGTGATAGAGTCAGGATCTGAACCTAGGCTTGTTTAATACCAGTGTTTTAACTAGACTGTATGACTCCTGTTTCTATACCAGCCCCCCTGGAAACATGTATAGGAGGTTTTTGGTATCTATTCTT